GCAGCACCTTTTCTAGCTATGATGACTCTGAAGCGTCTGGCTTCAGATGAGCGGGCTAAGTTTCCGGAGGCTGCTAAAATATTAGAAGACTCATTTTATATGGATGATCTGGTCCATGGGTCTCACACTATCGAACAAGCGCTGCAGCTTATTCAAGATCTTAACAGGTTATTGAAACTTGGTGGTTTTACTCTAAGAAAGTGGTCTGCAAATCACCCCGAACTTCTAAAAAATGTAGAGAACAGCGGCAGCATTGGAGATAACATCTTTACCTTTAAATCTGAAAACACATCTAAGACTTTGGGCTTAAGGTGGAACTCTGTTGAGGACACCTTTACGTTCAATTTTAATTTATCCAACTCGAACGTTAAAATCACCAAGAGACAGCTACTATCGGAAATATCAAAGGTTTTTGACCCTCTAGGGTGGTTATCACCACTCACAACTAAATTAAAACTTCTCTTTCAAAGGTTATGGATAAACAAAATGCATTGGGATGACGAAGTACCAGAGACTATTCAAAAAGAATGGGTCGTACTTAGCAAAGATATGGAGTACCTAAACCATAGCAAAATACCGCGGTGGATAGGTTATAAACCTTTGAACGTAGTTGAACTGCATGGTTACTGTGACGCGTCAACCAAAGCATACGCGGCAGTTATCTATGCACGTATTGTTAGGGAAACTGAGCCCACTGTGGTACTAGTTGTTGCCAAAACACGATTGGTCCCCCTCTCTAAGAACCTATCTTTACCAAAATTAGAGCTTAGCGGCGCATATCTATTAGCAAAATTAATGGGTAAAGTTATCAGATGTTTAAGCGAGCTGGATATTCGCATATATGGGTGGACCGATTCGATGGTTGTCTTAGGATGGCTACAGGGTGACTCAAGCCGATGGAAGCCCTTTGTGGCAAATAGGACTAAAGCTATAACTGAAAAAATGAAGCCCAGCTGCTGGCGGTACATAAGATCCAAGGAAAATCCTGCAGATGCCGCCAGTAGAGGTATTTCCGCCTCACAATTAAAGAACTTAACTCTGTGGTGGCATGGACTACAATCATTGAATTCGTTCGATGAAAAATCAGAAACTAGTCGAATGGTTTACACCACTGACCAAGAACTAAAAAGAAAATCAACGCCGAATAAAATAAATTCTTGCCAAAATAATGTTAACGAGAGCATTATAATGAATTTATTAATTAAATTTAGTTCGTTCAATAAAATTACAAGGATATTAGCATGGATTTTACGTGCATTTAATACATTAAAGTTCAGTAATGACTCAGAAATGACAGCTAAGCATAATATCCCTAGTTATCTTACTTTGTATGAATTAAGGAGATCTAAATCACTTGTTTTAAAATTCATACAAAGGACTGAATTCGCAGAAGAAATAGTATCATTACGACAGCATAAAATAGTGAGTAAAAAGAGTTGTTTATTAAAGTTAAATCCTTTTCTCGATAAAGAAGGTATCCTGCGAGTTGGAGGCCGTTTGAGCAAAGCAAACATGAATATAGATATGAAGCACCCTGCAATATTACCTCATAGCAGTCGGTTAACTACCTTGTTAATCCAACTAGCTCATCAGCTCACCTTCCATGGTGGACCGAGGATTACTTTGTTTAATCTTAGACAAAAGTATTGGATTATCGGTGGAAATAAAGCTGTAAGGAAAGAAGTAAGAAACTGTGTACTTTGTAAGAGACATGAGCCGAGAATGCAACATCAGTTAATGGGGGAACTACCAGAAGCTCGGAGCAACCCTGCCCCAGCGTTTTATCACACGGGCCTGGATTACACAGGCTTCGTAAACGTCAAAAGTAATAAAGGGCGGGGAATCAAGACGACTAAAGGATATATAGCGTTATTTATTTGTATGGCGACCAAGACTATACACTTGGAGCTTGTATCCGACTTGAGCAGTTCAGGATTTTTAGCAGCATTACGTAGAATGGCAGCTAGAAGAGGAGCGCCTAGACATCTGTATAGTGATAACGGAACAAACTTTGTGGGAGCAAATAGAATGTTACAGGAAAGCTATTATGATCTAAAATATCTATACAACGACAGCTTTTTTGCTGAATTAACTGATTTAAATATAGAATGGCATTTTAATGCCCCCTCTTGGCCAAGCGCTGGTGGATTGTGGGAAAGAGCTGTTCGAAGTTTAAAACACCACCTTAAACGAGTTATAGGAGAACAGCACTTGACCTTTGAGGAATTCAGCACTCTTTTAGCTCAACTTGAGACTTGTTTGAACTCAAGACCTTTATGCCCCCTATCAGAGGATATTGAAGACTTAAATATACTTACACCTGCCCATTTTTTAATAGGAAGATGTGGAACCGGTATAATCGAAACCCAAGAAGATGCGCGAACTAGATGGGCGCTATCAGCTAAATTAGTAAATGACATATGGAAGAAATGGAGATCAGAATATCTAACACAATTATCTGTAAGAAGCAAGTGGCGAAACACTGAGCAGAATATTAAAATTGGCGATTTAGTGACTATTCAAGAAGATAATTTGCCACCTGGAAGGTGGATGTTAGGTAGAGTAGTAGAGGTTCATCCCGGTCAAGATGGATTAGTGAGAGTAGTGACGTTAAAAACGAAAAGCGGAATTATCAAAAGGCCCATTGTTAAACTCTCCATACTACCTTTATCGTCTGAGTCTGGTGACACGAAAAATGAAAAAACTAGTCAAGAAAATACGACATGTTTGGAAGAGCCTATTCAGAGTAATCGCACAAGAACTATGCCTAAACTGGCTTCTATAGCGATGTCTTTAATGTTTTTTATTTCACTGTTGACATCATCTCACGCAGCGTTTAATATTTCAGTATTACCTAGCAATAATTCGTTATATTTCGAGCCAATAGGTAATATGAAAGTTATTCAGGACAAATGGCTTCTAATCGTTTATTACGACATGGGTCCATACTGGGAAGGGAATATTGCAACGACAAAAAATTTAGATTATTTAAATCAAATCTGTTCATCTCTGAGCGATAAAAGTCGTTGTAGTCTAATTACACTTCAATTAAATCATAACTATAAAGAACTCCTACACTACAATCGACTCATGCTAAATCAGCATTTTGATGCTCGGGAGCACGCTAGACGGCGTCGTCGCGGGCTTATCAACGGTATCGGTTATGTAGCCAACAGCCTGTTCGGAGTATTAGATGAACGATTCGCTGAACAGTACAAGTCCGATATACAACTTGTGAAACGTAAGGAGCAGCATCTTGCTAACTTGAAAAAAAATCACCATGCCAAGATATATGGCTGGAATTAAATGAGCCTTCTCGGTACTTTTATTTTTGCTGTAATTCCTATACATTGAGAATTAAATGTCAAGATCAAGTTACATTTAAACAGGTGACTGGAGCTGGCATTATTGACCTAGAGTCTAAATGCATAATAAAAAGTAAAGATTTTACTTTATATTCTCATGCAAACTTGGCTAATACTATTAAATCTAGCTCTAAGATTATAACGCCACAGATAGCCGAGATAAATCACATAGTGAATATATCGTTGTCTCACTATAGAGAGTACAAAGATCCGCTGAACAATACTTTAGCTTCTCTTGGAAAAAGAATAGAACAGTTGAAATCTGCCAATACATACTCCCCTGATGACACTATCTACACATGACATTCACCAGTATACACTCTGCTACAGCTTGCTGGGTATAGCGGTTATAGCAATAGCGTACTTTTTATGGAGGAGGAGACGTGCAGCATCTTCAGTGGAAGTGTCAAATAGTGTTGCCAATAGTGTAGTGTATTCGCGAAAGCAGAGCACGGCTGACCGTCAGCCTAGTGAAGTGATTATAAGTGCGAACACTGTTGGTAAACGGGATAAAGCTACGTCCCCTATTGTCAAAAAGTGTAACTTTAAAATCGAAGATGTGTGACTTTATCTTTGTATCTTTTTGGCCCGGGAGCATGTACGGTGACACCGAACAATAATGTTACCTCAGCAATTTGCTTACTTTACTTATAAATCATAATTACACCGACAGTACACGATTAGCGGTCATCGCGTGTGCTCCCTCGCTCCTTTATATTTTCTTACCTGTGGTCCGTATAATAAATTCATTTCATTAGTTAAACAGCCGTATCATTATCTAAAGTAACTTCTTTTCATTAACTGTAGTTAGATAAATATTTTATATAGTTATTGTGGTTATATTTTGCACATTGTGGCCAAGTGCGAGTCGGACTCGCCCATGAAGGGTTCCGTAGCAGCAAGTAACATATATAAAAGTTCTTGTAGTTCGTTATAACTTTGATCGATGTTTTAATAATAGTGTTTAAACTTTTGAGTTTCAGTTCTAAGTATGGGGAACCCCCAAAATTTATTGTTTTTTTTTTCTAGTTTTGTGTGAAAATCTTAATGCGGTTCACAGAATACATCTACTTACCAAGTTTCAACAGTATAGTTCTTATAGTTTCGGAAAAAAGTGGCTGTGACATACGGACGGACAGACAGACAGACAGCGATTTTGAAGCGTGTTGTATGTCGTGTCAAAATTGGAACTCAATACTTGCAAAACTTTTTTGCGGTTCCGAAGCATACTCAAACCAACTTAACATTTTGATAGATAACATTTTTCATATTATATATAACTAGCTGACCCGCGCAACTTCGTCTGCGTCTCTCAATAGTAATAAATTTTCTTCGTTTTTTAAACATTCTTCATTGGTGCTCCGCTCTTATTGGTCTTAGCGTGATGATATATAGCCTATAGCCTTCCTCGATAAATGGGCTATTTAACACTGAAAGAATTTTTCAAATCGGACCAGTAGTTCCTGAGATTAGCGCGTTCAAACAAACAAACAAACTCTTTAGCTTTATAATATTAGTATAGATATCATTGGTGCAATGTACGTGTATAAATACTCCAAAAGGGAATAAATAATAACAGAGTTGTTTAATCAGGCATCTAAAAAGAGATTTGCAAAATAGTATTTCATGACTTACTTTCAATTGCTGCAGCTGTTCCTTGAAGTCAGTTTCCGCGAAGGTGATGGAGGCCGCGCAGGTGATATTGGCCGCCTCCAGTTGCGTCACCAGCTCATTGACAGCCAGGGAATATATCTCCTCGTTTTGAGAGAATGCTGTCACTGTGTCCCAACCGAACTGTCTGTTGATCATATAACTATTTTTCAGTACGTATCTTCTTTTATCTAAATTTTTGAATCCCTGTCAATCAGAAAGTGAAACTAATGTGATCTTACGGCATCTTGGTGCTATTATTGTCAATTAATTTAAAAATTAAAAACCCCCTACACAGAAAAGGAACTTTAAAAACATGTAACCCGCCATTTTGAGGCGGCCGCCATCTTGCACCCATTTTCATCAAATATAGCTAAGAACACTCATGATTAATTCACCTGTACAACAAAAAAAAAATCAAAATCAAAATCGGTTCATTCGTTCAGAAGCTACGAGGCGACAGACAGACACGCACACACACATACACGGACACGTCAAACTTATAACACAATGTCGGGTTTGCGTCGGCGGTTAAAAAGTTTCAAATAAAAAGTCGGTAACAAAACGAACTGCTTGACATTTATCATATACTAGCTTTTGCGGCTCCGCCCGCGCGTGTGTCGGTTATTGAGATAAAAAGTAGCCAATGTTACTAGCTGATAATTTATCTTTTCATAGGTGAAAGATTTTTTTAAATCGGTTTTGTGGTTTATGAGTGAAAACGTAACAAACAAACTCACTTTGACATTTATCAAATAGGTATGTCGGTGTGGTGTATAGAGCACGCCAATATATAACCATGTACGAGTATTCATTTAGTCAGAGTGTAAACCTGTGACAACAAACACGTGTTCTCAAGACACATCTTTTTCTTATAGTCCGAACCGTACAGCGGTATGAAAAGACAGCTAAATTAGCCAATCTATTAGATATTCAAAGTCCACACGGTATTCTTCCACATTCGGTATATTTTTTTTCAATTCTTTTTTTTATGATAATTCGTTACGACGTCCCTTACACCCTGTAAAAGTATGTATATCAGCAGTCTGGTTACCACAGTACAGGCTCTGCTTTGTTTGGGATCAGACGGCCATGTGTGAGTTTATTATTATTACTATTACTTACGTAAGCTAACTTAATTTTTAAATACTTTAGGTAATGAGTTTTATATACTATTTGAATAATCAGATTTTTCTGTGTCTTTATGTATTAATGACTCATTTTGTACTCTTGTGGTTTAATATTTATTGCCTTTTACACGTCGATATGGAAACAACGCTCAAACACATTCAAATTTATAGAATTAAAATTTTTCATTTTTTGAACTTCTTTTCCCGTAATGTGAAGTGATTATGACGACGGTGTTTAAAATATATTTTAATAGTACATACTTTAATATTTTTTCTTTCACAAAAGAAAAAAATATTATAATAATAGGCGGTAAAACTCAGTGAAAGACGTTAACGATGTGGATTACCAACCTTCCCCTTCTCAAGAGCAAATCTAATTGGTTTCATTACAGTGAATATTTTTTTTTAAATAATGAAACCAATTAGACCTACGTTTTTGACTCAGATTTCTTGTAAAATATATTCTGTATACTAATGAAAAATAAGTTAAAAATCAAGCTTAGGAAAAAACATTGTGTAAAGTGAAAATCCTAAGTGCTTTAAAATTCATACTAAGATTAGGAAGACCATGTGATGTGAAATAATTAGGAAAGGGAAATAATGATTGAAATAATAAGTATCGAAAATTTCATTGGAGACCTTAAAAACGTGGCGAAGTTATCGTATGAAATCCTTCAAATGTGGGAGTGGCTGTTTTGGTATACAAAGGCTAAGTTGACCCGAACGATACCACGGTCTGACAGAAAATCGGTGGTAAGCAGTTCTTTGGTTGTATTTCACTGAATGAGTAATGTTGTACGAAGATCCTAAAATTCTTGGCACTCAAAGCTTGGTAACATACGAATGACTCTTGAGTTACGAGTATTATTTTTTTTGCTGATATCTGACACACAACACCATCTAGTTTCAGTGGAGCTTGTACTATGAAAGCTAGATTTAATTAGCGGCGGGACTCACTAAACATAAAGTGACTCTGTACACAAGATTTCATGATGATCGATTCAGTAGTAAAGAGTAAGCATTACAAACAAACAAATATAAATAATCTCACACATTTCACACACTGCTCTTTGATCCCAGACTAGGCAGAGCCTGCTGATAAATATACTAATATGTTTCTAAATACATACATATTATAGATGAATTATCAGACGTAGAACACATAAGCGACACATTTTTATTTAACCTGGGTGGGAATCGAACCTATGATCTCTGGTTTAGCAGTCAGAATTGCTAACCACTGGACTAACAGGCCCATAGTTAGGAGTAAAAGCGTTACAAACACACAAACACAAAGTCGCGTTTATAATATTAAATAAGCCATAAAAATAATATTAAGTTAGAACTAAGTAGATTAAAATCAGGACTGTCCTGTATCTACTAGATACGGAGATATTCTACTGCTCGTAGCCAGCTCGTAGCCGAACCGTAGCGTCTACAAAGTCCGTTGGTTTATGTAGCATTCTTCAGCAACTAATATTTCGTAGAATTTTAAAGTTATATTTTCTTGTACTTCGAAGCTTTATAAGTAGAATTAAGTACCTATTTATGAAACTTTTATTGAGTATACAGTGTTTTATAACACCCTTTTAAACCGACTTAAAAAACAGAGAGGTGCCCAATTCGATCGTTTTTTTTATTAATGTTCCTTATCTCAGAACTTATTTAATTTTAAAACGATACTGAAAAAAATTCAATTCAAATCGAAACGAAGACAATTTTGACCTACTCCCAGTGGTCGTATTAAATTAAAACTTTGTTTGTATTTAAAATTATTGTTATTACTAATTAACTAATGAAAATAACACATTAATAGATATTACATGGTGTGAAGGATTATGGGCGCCGTGTAGTGAAGTATTAAGAAAACGGAGTGTCACTACCCCTATTCATCCCGTGGGTGTAGTAAAAGCCAAGTAAACTAAAAGAAATAAACCTGTGACAGAAATGCAAAAAGTTAATAAGGGAGCAAACCACGCAGTTCAACATCTCTGCAAATAGCAGGAAAACTTGAAACAAACCCTATACTAACCCGTCTGGCTAGCGTGGTATAGTAGGCCAAAATCTCCTTTCGAAGGAGATGGCTATGCCCAGCAGTGGACTATAAAGGCTGTTGATGATGTTGCTTTGTAAAATAAAACATTTAAACAAAAAGATAACGGATCTTCCTATATCTTCCTACATCGATATTGAAGTAAACTATTTAAAGAAAAAAACTTGGAGATTACCTGATGAAAGCTATCCGCGCTGGGTTGTGAGAGGAGTCAGGAGCCACGGTGCGGCAGAACAGCGGGAACTCCGTTCTATCGCTGAGCGCTGGTGAAGTGGAGCCGAAGGAAACCTGTGACAGAATATTTTCATCACGATTTTATTTTCGTGCCTTTTTATTATTTTTATTTAATGTTGCCGAAATACTTTTGTTAAAAATTGGAAAGTGAGTGTGTTTGTTTGGTACGCTTTTACGCCTAAACCACTAAACCGATTTAAACAATTCTTTCACCAATGGAAAGCTACATTATCAGCGAGTAACATAGGTTACTTTTTATCGCGATAACCGACATACACGCGGGCGGAGTCGCGGGCAAAAGCTAGTAATCTATTTATTTAAATATGTTAAGTTAGTTTGTGGTGTATACAATGTTAAGTTGAAATAATTATTTTTAAATTCGATTTAGTGGTTTAGGCGTAAAACAAAAACAAAAAGCAAACAAATTTACTTTCACATTTATAATAAAAGTATGGATGTATGTTAGCCCACAATCGATCTAAGTGGCGTGCAATGGGAGAGACCTATGTCCAGCAGTGGACTGCGATAGGCTGATTATGATGATGATGGATGTATGGATGTAATGAAAATAATGAACTAACAGAGATCCATTATTAGTTAATGTGATATTCCTTATTGTCATCCCGACAGTCTAAACATCAATCTCTGCGAAATTAATTGTTATGAGTAATGATAGCTGTTGTTATGACATTATAATTACTATGGCTGAACAAATATATCATACGTAAGTCGACGTTATGTATGTAATTCGATTATCGCTCTATAAAGTAGCCTTTTTTTGTTGACGGGGTGGAAAAATCCTTTGGATCTCCTTTGGAGCCAGGAGTATGTGGTGTTTCCACTAAAAAACAACCCGACAGCTGGTCTCAGGCGCCCTGCCTTGTTGAGGACCCGTACCATGTTATTTCTGGTCCCCCTCGGATCGACGCCGCGCCGAGCCAGGCCCTATCCCGGGGAAAGAAGGTTTCCCCCGCCTATCGGCCAATAATAATAATATACCTCACACATCTCACACACGGCCTTCTGATCCCAAACTAGGCAGAGCCTGTGCTATGGTAACCAGACTGCTGATAAACATACTTATAAATTTTTAAATACATACATATTATAGATAAATTACACCCAGACACAGAACAAATGATCGTGCTCATCACAAAATATTTGTCCTGGGTGGGAATCGAACCCATCCTATCGCCTACCGCAGCAGTTAATCTGTCACCAGAGGTCCCCACTCTCTGGCAGCCTGCGGCCCCGTCGACGGCTGATAACGCCGCCGACGTCCTCTACGCTCAGGATCGGCCCTCACCCGATCTTATGTTACTCGCTGATAATGTAGATTTGCGTTGGTGAAAGAATTATTAAAATCAGTTTAGTGGTTTAGGCGTGAAAGCGTAACTTACAAACTCACGTTCACAAATATTATAATAAGTATGGATATTGATGTGTAAACAGTAGGTTCCCGCCAGTGTAATTTCTATTTTACATAGCCAAAATTTTTTTTTTAAATTTAATGGTAACTTATACAAGTCTAAAAATCAAAAATATTTACTTCTCGGTAACAGTTTCTTTTTAATTTGCAAGAGCAGCTGCCAAGGAGTTAGAAATTAAAACAGACTGTTTCAATATATATCTTTCTCATTTATAACACCATATTAAAAAAAAAAGGTTCCCCAGCCTATCGTGTAATAATACATAATATACCTCATCTCACACGTCTGGATTCAGGACACTTCTGATCCAAACTAGGCAGACCTTGTATGGTAATCCGATGTGCTGATACACATACTTATAAATTTTAACATACACTATTATAGATAAATTACACCAACAGAACATAATACTGCCATCAAAATATTTAGTCCTGGTGGTAATCAAACCCATCCTCCTACCGCCATTAATCTGTCACCAGAGGTCCCCATCTCTGCAGCCTCGCGGGCCGCGGCCTGATCAAGGCCCCGACGTCCCTGTCGAGATCGCTCGTTTAGTTCGGCTGACCCATCTATGTCTCGCTGAATAGGATTGCTGATTGGGAAGATCTTCAAAAACAGTCTTAGGTAGGCTCGTGAAGCGTAACTTACAAACTCGACGTTCAACAATTACATCAGAGACTGTTACAGGGTAACCATACAGGTTCACCGCCAGTGAAATTCTATTTTAAAACCCCGACACCAAAAAAAACAGTATAAAGTCCAAACATAACAACATATGTTTTAATTTTCTGAGAAGCTCTGGCTCTGGCTCTGGCTCTGGCCATCTCGCAGACTACTTGATGCTGCAGCAAGTACCAGTTTACCGTATCGTGGAAATACCATTGTGGCGACTCCCACATAAACATACTACAGCGCCTCTAACGAAGACACACCGAACTACGGAGTAACTACTAAAATAAGAATTGCTAATCCTGTATCGCGATATAAAGAATTCCCTCGCCGATTAGCATATATACAACTTCCCAGCATCAATCGTTGGGCCGCGGCCCGCCAGGCATGATCACCTCGCCTGGTCGGAGGATCCTCCCTTTGTGTTGGAGGGACATGACACCCGTTCCTCCACAGTGGTGACTCCGACGTGATTGGAAGCAGCCTTCAAAAGGAGCAGATCATTAGCAGCACCATCGTGTACACTCCCACATCGATGAGCAGTAATCAAGTCTCAGCCAGCCAGCAACCTCGGCCTCTACAGGGATACCACACGCAGGTAGCGACCGCTCCAGCCTGGTTACCTCTACGGCCTCAACAGCGTCTAGGCACAGCACACTGCACCTACGGTCCACGTAAGAAGAGCATTTTCTCTCCCGTCTACGCAGCAGCCAGCCACTACGCAGCAACCGCCCCGACTCACTGGGGTCTTCACCGCAGCACCGCGCACCGCACGCCATCCCGACTCACTGGGATCAGCGGACTTCAGCCCCGACTCACTGGGGCTAGCGGCACTCAGTTCCGACCCACTGGAACTAGCGGCACTCAGTTCCGACTCACTGGAAACTACTCACTACTGGCACTGGCACGCTCCACAACAGGGCATAGACAGCTGACTCATCATATATCGACCTCCGGTCTTGGAGGGGAGTGATGTGGCGACTCCCACATAAACATACTACAGCGCCTCTAACGAAGACACACCGAACTACGGAGTAACTACTAAAATAAGAATTGCTAATCCTGTATCGCGATATAAAGAATTTCCTCGCCGATTAGCATATATACAACTTCCCAACATCAATCGTTGGGCCGCGGCCCGCCAGGCATGATCACCTCGCCTGGTCGGAGGATCCTCCCTTTGTGTTGGAGGGACATGACACCCGTTCCTCCACAGTGGTGACTTGACCAGTAACTGGTACGATGTCGTTTATACGGTCGACTACCTCTGCTACATCTTCCAAGCTTGAATTGGCTTGCATGGCTACTATGGTCTGAAGATTCGCCGGAAGCCTGCTAGACCAAATTGACCAGATAAAAGCGTTAGGAACAGTTGGTCCAGCTAGTTGTTGTAGGTGGCGAAGAAATTGTGTGGGCTTTCTGTCACCGAGCTCCTCATGCATAAGCAGTTGTTTTATTTTGCGCTCTTGCGATGCCGATAGCCTCTTGATCAGCTCTGTCTTCAGCTTCTCATATTTATCAGTTGCGGGCGGAGATACTATAAGGTCTCGTACTTCTGCTGAATGTTGGGGTTCTAGCTGTGCCAGCACGTAGTAGAACTTCGTGGAGTCAGTAGTGATATTGGAAAGGGTAAACTGTCCTTCCAATTGTGCGAACCACAGCAGCGGATCATCAGCGTTGAACACCGGTACCTTCACTCCGACGCGGTAGGCCATAAAGAAGTCCTTGTTTGCCTCTTCTCCAGTAAGCGGCATGTTTCTAATTTACTAGTTTCGAGTTATAGTATAGTAATAAACTCAAAGAATACTAGTTGTCGTGGGTCACCAGTGAAGTGAATTAGGTTGGAATCGAACTCCCTTCTATCTCAGTGCAGTCGACGTCCGAACCACTGGACTGTTAACAGCTTGTTATCCTAATTCAGTTGTTTGAAATAACTTTATAATACTAGCGAAGCGAAGGATATTTGCTTAGTATCGGCTTGTTATCAATAATCAAAGGACTTGAGCAACACGTAAACAATTCTTTATTTTTGTACCAAGACGATAACAAAAGTCGGAATGGTTTCTCACACAATGCGACACAGTATTTATACACAAAAATAGTTAATAATAGTAAACATAGAAAAGCTTCGGTCCTAGCACTTTTTGAACGTGGGCGTATGCCGTACAACAAAAGATGTGCGTCGACCATATTGCGCGCGCGCTGGTAGTATAATAGCAAATGGGCGGTCATCTTGCTGTAGGCGGGGCTTACTGTACTTATCCCCTACATGTCGAGAACATCACGCCATATGTGACGTAGATCGTATGATCTAGTGCTACGTCCTAACGCATAGGGATTACTCGCCTACTCGCCACACCACTCCCCCGGTGAGACCGTGACTACGGGCGATAGTAGTCTGGTTGTGTTGGAGGGACATGACACCCGTTCCTCCACCATCAAAGCAACAGTATACCAAATTTCAGTTCAATCGGCCGTGTGGATTTTACTGAGATCCCTTCATCACCTAAGAAGTGAACTGGTGATCTTCAAAATTTACAGCTAAGAACCACCTCGATCACATTGGCATTTAAACACAAATCCGCATCGAAATTGGTCCATCCGTTCGAGAGCTATGACGCCACAGACAGACATACAGATGCACAGGTTAAACTAATAACACCCCTCGTTTTTAAATAATGTAATGTCTGTTCTGTGTAATAATAAAAGTGCAAAGTGCAAGCATTGCATTGCAATGGTTTCAAAATATTATTTCTAGAACCTTAAATAAACACAACTGTTCTAATTTCAAATATTGGTTTGACAAACTACCCCCTTATTCAAAAAAAACTTCAATCTAAACGATACTCTATATATTCAAAGTTACAGTTGGTTTTCGCTTGTAACGTTGACAGGTCTCAGCTGCTACATATACAGACGAAATCGAGTTGTCTATCTAGGCTAGTTCATTTGTCGGAGTTGACGTAACTGCCCGTAGCAGTAAGCCTCAGATAGAGCCGGATTGGAGTGGCGTGAGCTGGTATTAACCGGTTTAAAGTGGTTACATTCGAACATGTCTAATGGCTTTCATTAAAGTTAGTCACCGAATGTGAATCATAAATGTGTATAGGTGATATACATTGTTAATTTATTTGCACCATAAACAATATTTTAATATTTGTTTATAATACAAATATTACAAAATATAATTCAACACACATTATAAATAAAGAAATATATTACATTATTATAAATATAATATTAGAAAAGAGGTTTTAGGCCTAATATACCACGCTGGCCAGACGGGTTGGAATAGGGTTTGGGTCAAATTTTCTGCAGTGCTGCTTTTCTGCGTAGTTTTCTACCTTACGACACCTACGGGATGAATAGGGGTGGTGACACTATGTGTTCTTAATCCGTCACCACAAGGACCATAATATTATATAATTAATAGTATTTATCCATAAACCTTTTTTTCACTTCCGATAATAACAGAAATGCAGGTAGACGTAAAAAACAATATCTAACGTTGCGTTACTTGCAGTCACAGCTTTGCTACCGCCGCGATTATCGTATTTGGTGCCACGCGTTAAATATTATAATAACTATTGTAATATCCTTCCATATTGTTACTTTTATAGTGTTAATCGTATGTGAATTATCTTTATTGTGTTCTATATACTTCCTACCGTTCTAACTATTCTATTGTGCCTTCTAAACTGGAAACTTTGTGTCGCGTGTGTTTTGTGAACATTAAAAGTGTATCGATAAAAAGGATTGTTTGCTTTATTAGGTACTAACGGTAAGTAACATTACGCCATAATGACCAAATGTTATTTGTTATATATTGATCGTGGTTCTGTAAACTTCTTGCAATGATCTTATTATGGCTTTCTCCTTCTTGAGAAATGAGTTTAAGTATGATCAATATCAATCAGTAACTAAGTCTCACTTTCTTCTTTTCAATGCATATTACTTGTATGCAGACCCGAGAACGGTATTTCAGTCAAGCACGTAAATTTCAGTCATGTATAGACAAGTCTAAATATAATATTCTGTTTTGTGACATGGCATAGCTGTCCCTAATGTCAGCACATCAGATTACATCAATAGTCTACTGCAGGACATAGGCCTCTCCTTAGAATGGAGGTTTTAGCCTACTGTACCATGCTGACCAGACAGATTGGTATAGGGTTTTTTTCAAGTTTTCCTTCTCTTTGCAGTGCGGTTGTCCTGGGTAGTTTGCTCCCTTAGTCGGCTTACAAGAGAGTCTCCTACATGCATCGCATGTTTCCACTCTAAGCCACACTGACGGCCGGGTTTGGACATCCTACCCTAGGGAGGACCTGGAAAAGCTGTTCGGAGACCTACACTCTGAAGCACAACTGTAGCACCGCGCCCGCTTCTCGGTCAAATCAATTAACGCGTTCTTCCCTGGCTTTCTGCTACACACTTACAAAATTGAATAGTGAGTGTTGAGGGTTCGATCCCCACAACAACACTTTGTGTTATCCACAAATTGTTTCTTCTGAGTGTGTTCGTTGTGACCGTTTCATTTATGTTTGTAAAGTACCCTGTGACACAGGATATATTGTTAATGCAGTTGTCTTTTAAAAAAAATATCACTAATATTCAAAAAAATCCTATTAACGAGAATATATATTACACATCTAGAAATCTGTAACACACATGGTAACACAATTAGACTATGTCAACTAAAATATCAGATCATAGATTTAACTAAGTAAGAATCTTCATAAAATTATTTAGCCAAAAAAAACCACACTATCCGAGTTTTCAAAGTAAACTGATCACGGAGCGAAATTCAGAGAGAGATTTGATTCTCGTTGTATTTAACCACGATCTCATTTAATTTATTTCTCACTGAAATTTGTTGGATAATCTTTTAGTTATTTATTTATGAACAGTTAGCGGAGAACACTTTCTTGCACTAAGAAAAGCAGAGCAAGTATTGTATAAAACGAGTAGGTATTTGAATCAATCCTACTTCTGATATGTAAAAACGATAGTAAACTAGTACTTTTTCGAATCAAATCCAACTCAAGAATATGCGTTACATAATTTTTTTAATAATTGAAGGTAGTTATGTACGTTATATATATGGCATATAATATAAGCCATGTTCTAGTAATAATATAAATCGTCAAGACGGGTTTAGACTTCTTAAAAGTACTGTGTTTTAAAGGTAACAGATAACGATCCGAACACGGCTGTTTTAACATCTCGGTCAAGATGGTGATACAGACGCAATGTTGCCAACACTATAAAGTGTTTACAAAAATGTTATAAATAAAAGACACAGGGTTCTATCAATTGCTATGTCTTTCTTTAGGTCCTTTCGTTTTTTAAACGATTATATTTAACTTGCCCTGTTGAAGTGGCGACTTTCACATACAACGAAAGAGAGATATACTGCAGTGCCATCTTGCGAAGATACACCGAACTACGGAACAAATGTTGTATCGCGCAATGAGAGTTTTGGACCCGATTAGTATTATATACACCGTCCCAAAATCAGCGGTATGTCCGTGGTCGAAAGAAGTTACAAGTAATGATTCCAGCATTGCAACTTTTTTCTTTATTCATTCTTTATTAAGCATGTTCTATAGTGTACTTTTATGGCGAAGTTAAAGGCTCTGTTCAACTAGTTCAATCATCTTTAAGACATATTAAAATTAAAACTGCTTACCTGCACTATGTTCCAGTACGGCACAATCTTGGCGATGCTCTCAGTGACCTCCGAGCATGCTGTTCCCAGTAGCATCACCATCCTGGAGTCTCGCTCTGTGTAGAGAGCGTGGAAGAAACGGTCCACACCCACACCTGGATCGCACTAAGGAAAAAAGGATAAGGTAAAACATAGTAGTTAATAATTTATATTAACTAATAGCAGATAGAGGATATACATATGTATATATATTTTAAGTGTTAGTATTTAAAAATCCTTGACATTATAATTATATTGATAATCCTTGGCATTGTATGGTTTTAAAAAATAAGTTTGAAATGTTGCTCTAATAAATATAACTTTAATTCTTTGAAATATTTGTACACTGGAAACAGCAGAATATTATGGATGTAATATTAAATCTAACACCTGTGTCTCAACAACATTCTAAAATATAAATCTTTTATTATTATAATCACGATTGAACTTGATTATTTCTAGAAATAAGTTTGGCGGTATATTACTTTACAAAAGCATGAAAGTTTTAGCGTATTCTAAATTAATTAATTAGAACTTTTTATTTTTTTGTTGACGGGTTGGAAAATCCCTTCGGATCTCCGTCTCCGTGGGGATGTAGGAGTCAGGAGTATGTGTGTAAAAACCACCTTGACGGCCGGACTCAGGCGCTCTACTCAGTCCGAGGAGGACCCAGACCATGTTATTTCAGGTCCCCCGGGACCGACACCGCGCTTAGCCAGGCCCTATCCCGGGGTAAGAAGGCTTCCCCCGCCTATCGGCCAATCCTTATGATAATATGTTGCGGCCCGATTGCATTTTTGCGACCAGGCCGCCATCCTAACGCCTACCTAAGTGAAGTGTTTTTCTCACATGAGTGAATTTATTTTAATTCTTAGTGAAAATTAAAGATCTTAAACCTTTTTTTATAGCCAGAGATCTTAAAGGAGTAGAATAAGATAAAATATTCAGGTAAACTCTGAACCAATCTTTAGGTTGAATACAGCTTTTCTCTTAAATCATCTTTAGAGGAGTACAAACCGTCAATTAATTAATAAAATTAAAAAAAAACAGGTATAAAGATTAACTTAACTGAATTTTTATTAAATAAGACAAAGATTATTGCCAACTATTCTCATTAAGAATTGATTAAGACCTACCTTGGTGTCATTGGTAATAAGGTGTAGTTTATATCCAGGTAGAAGACCTCTCTTGTTGACATGGTCTACTGCTAGCCTGGCTGCTGATAGCTCCGATATGCCGTCAGCTCTCGGTGAATCCCCCACGGATAGTTCGAAGAGCCCCAGGATTGACACGATTCGGTTTGATTTGTTTTTTGGGAGATCTGAGAACAAATGAAATAATTTCTTTAATAAATTATGATACTGAGTAATGTACATACTCGTAATACATCGATGTTTAGGAGAAAATTATTTTTAAAATTATAATTGCTTTGCTCGTTTTGAAGTTGATTTAAATATGCAGAACGAAGCTTACACTAACTTTTAATCTTACTACCTTACTTTAACACGTTTCATGATATAAAATTAGTCATGTCAAGTCATGGGTCATAAATGCAGTCGCACCGTAATGTTCATATTAGCACGCCGTTTCAGTGCCTATCTCTGTGTGTGTGTGTGATGTTTCAATGCACACACATAACCATATAATACAGACGTATTGGTTGGTCACATGCTAGATACCTAGACATCTATTTATACGTTTTCTTCGTATTGAACTTCCAGTGGTATCACCTATTTGAAAGGGATGCTGAAATTCAACACAGTGGTCATTAGAACCAGTGGCATAATAATACGGTGAGCTTACTTCCACTGTTTGCCTGATGACGAGTGGTAACTGTTCGGGCTTCAGTGCCTGATCACTTTTTGAAGTTTTGTTTTCATGTAAGGATATATTTTGATTTTCTGTTACTTTAAAATTACTGTAGTTGACGGAAAAAAAATAAAAAAAAAATTTTTCATAAGATAATCTATTTATTATATTATCAATCCTTAAAACGAACTAAAGGATAAAAATAAACATATTTAAGTTTAATATTTTCATAAACTATTTTGGTTGCTTATCCATGAATTCTCAAAAAGTTGCTGTAAGGTTGCATGAAGTTTGAAACGGCGGCATTTGCATTATGACGTCCACAGCAGCGCCAGACGGACAGTTATTTATTGCGTTGAAATTAGTAACTATAATCATACGCACGTAGCGTGTATATGTGTGTATGATATACGTTAATAGAAGAAGGTTATAAGTCCAACTAGTTATAATGCTATAACTTTGTAAAAGTGCTACTGGACTTATGACCGCGACCGTACATATAATAAAAATAATAATAATATTCTACCACATACACACAACGCCATCTAGTCCCAAACTAAGCAGAGCTTGTACTATGGGTACTAGACAACTGATATAAATACATATATACTTTTTTTTTTGTAAATACATACACATTATACATAGAAACACCCAGACCAAATCAAACATCAAATGTTCATGCACACAAATGTTTGACTTGAGCGGAAATCGAACCCGCGACCTTTGGAATAGCAGTCCGTTACACAAACCACTACGCCATCCGGTCGTCGAAGAATATAATGTCGTCGATATATAAGAACTAGCTGGTACCCGCGACTTCGTTCGCGTGGAATTTGAAAAGCGCTACCTTAGTGGGTTCGATGCCCGGACCGGGGCAACATTTTAAAGGGTTTTCCTGAAAGGAAAAATAGCCTAAGTTATTCCTTATGTAGACAGCTACCTGGTAGTATAATATTATCGAAATCGGTCCAGCCGTTTAGAAGATTACCCGGGACAAATAGACAGACAAAAAAAAAATTACCTGGTTTTTAGGCATAGGTGTCGTGTAAATCACCGCGTGAGCATGAAGAAAAACTAATTTTCACTTCAATTTTATTTATTTGTATAGAGTACTACACTGTGTATCTTTGAATTACCTGACGCCACGTTTTGATCAATTTGGACTAGCCGCAGTCACAGGCTGTTAATTTCCGTGTATAATTCGAATTAATTTATTAAAAGACAATCCCGTATTAGGTATATATATTCTGAGTCGCTTTATAAACATTTATAAAGCGGACACAAATAATACCCAGACAATAATTTTGGATCACACAAAGTGGAGATCGAGTGGGATCGAACCCGCACTAAGAAGTGGTCGACGCGACAGCTTAAACCACAATATAATGAATTATCAAGTTATTTTCCTAAATGTGGAAAACGGTATTTTTTTTAATTGATTCAACGTACCTCTGTGAGATATAAAATTTATTAATTAAACTTTTAAAAGAAACACGCAAAGCCCGAATTTCCAAGGTAAATCTTCCCATAGGTTCACGCATTAATCTTGAGCTTACGTGTTAATACACTATTCATCACATGGTGCCCTTATTCTTACATAATTGTATTCTTGTTGGGATTAATAACCTCACTTTATCCCTGCCAGGAATATGGCTTTATGTTTATCCAAAAAGACAGGGAGCAAACGTCAGATGAGTCTCGTTAATGTTTTTTTTTTTTTTTTTAAAGACAACTCCCGCACTAGGAATAAATCCTGTGTCGCGGGGGACCTTACAAACATACATGAAACGGACACAAAGTACACCCAGACTCAGAACAACAATTTGTGGATCACACAAAGTGTTATCCCATGTGGGGTTTGAACCCACAACACTCGGCGCAATAGAAAGCGGCGTGGCGACCGCTTAAACCACTACGCCATCCGTGCAGTCAAGTTAGGTAGAAAACCTTTTCTACAGAACAATATTTTTTGACGGGCCTGTTAGTCTAGTGGTTAGTGACCCTGACTGCTACGCCAGAGGTCGTGGGTTCGATTCCCACCCAGAACAATTAATTGTGTGATGAGCACGGTCATTTGTTCTGTGTCTGGGTGTACTTTATCTATAATATGTATGTATTTAGAAATATATAAGTATGTTTATCAGCAGTCTGGTTACCACAGTACAGGCTCTGCCTAGTTTGGGATCAGACCGCCGTGTGTGAGATGTGTGTGAAATATTAAATATTAAAATTTATTTATTCGTTGTTCCAAGAAATCGTTAATATATTAGTTGACTTTAATAATAAAATATTAGACAATAATACAGTGAAATTGAGTCAATACTATTTTCATGTCACAAGGTTACAATTTAATACATAAGTACAGTAACAGTAAAGATAAACTACAGGCCGTAAACGGGTAGAAAAACAGAAGTGGTCCAATTTAAGCGCTGGTTCAATATTGGTTAACTCTCCCCTATGTTGTTATATGACGGTAGTAAATAACTCGGTAAATATGAAAAACTAGGTAGATTATTTAATTTTATTCTTAATTTTAATGAACCATTTTTCTTAATTTCGTTACAGACAAAATACATCTTTATCTTGTTGTGTATGTTTATAATTTAACAGTAAATAAACAAAATATTAGTTTCGTTTCTATTCTTTTTAATAGCTATAGGCACCATCGTTTTTAATAATTTTACTTGCAGTTTGTTAATGTTTGTATTATATATTATGTTCTACCATAAATACTGAGACCATATCCTATTATACAATCTAAGTAAATAAGTTCGGACATCTGACACACAATGCCATCTACTTTTAAACTAAGCAGAGCTTGTACTATGAAAGCTAGATTGACTGATAGAATACTTATATACTTTTTTTGTAAATACATACATATTATATATTATAGGAAACACCCAAACTCCGAAACCAATATTTGCACATCATACAAACATTTGGTCCGACCCGGGAATCAAAATCATCATCATCGACAGCCTTTAATAGTCCACTGCTGGATATAGGCCTATCCTTAAAAAGGAGGTTTTGGTCTACTATACATCGCTGGCCAGACGGGTTGGTATAGGGATTTTTCAAGGTTTCCTTCTCTTTCCAGTGCTGTTGTCCAGCGTAGTTTGCTCCCTTACTCGCCTCTCACGACACTCACGGGATGAATAGGGGTGGTGACACTCCTTATTCTTAATCCGTCACTACACGGACATCTGCCATAAATCTAACAAAATTTAATTTTACAATTAGTTCGGCAAAAAATTCAGATTTATCATTCTCTGTCCCGGAACGAATCACGTGTAAATAACTTTAAAAAAAATATCACTTTATTGTGAACAACGATGAACGAAGAAAGTGTATTCTTTATTCCTTAATTTTCCTGCCTTAGAGGTGGTATTTTCTCTAATAGGCGGTAATTTAAATAGGACCACACGGGAAATATACCTTCTCAAATAAAAAAACATATTATACAAATCGGTTTACAAATAAGGGAGTTCTGACGTAACAAATTAAAAAAAAATGCAATTGAATTGAGAACTTCCTTCTTTTTCGAAGTCGATTAATAATATGACGTCATTTTAATCTTCTTGTAAAAGTTCATTAACTCATATTTTCTTGGTTGAGAAGATAAGAAGCAGAATTTTCTTATTAAATGGTAACATGATTATTGCACCTGATGTTTTTATATCAAACGATTAGCCAAATGCCTTAAAGTACAGTGCTGCGTGGGACCTTATTACTCAAGAGAGTTGCAGGCCATTGAGTGCCCCCTAAACTAAATCGGGGTTATGTCCTCCTGCTATCTCACTAATTTGGCAAATACAACAAAATAATTACCTCAACCTAGTGCCTAGGTAATTAAATACTTTACTGCGCATAATAATATGGGCAAATTGTCACTATAGTCATTATTAAGCCATAACATGTTGGATCAAACCAATTAATATGTCAGTAACATACTCGTAACAATGACGACGGGCTGTACATTTCTACGAAGGGGAGAGTACTTCGGGAGACATTTGAACGTGTAGAGGAAGGCCAAGTTAGTTTCAATCGTTACAACAAGTTATTCCCACTGATCAATCGGTGCATGCATTCAATTAGTAAAACAGGTATCATGTATTAGGAATATTCCGCATTCAGGTATTCCCGCATTAGGAATATATCGCGGAGGACTTTATAAACATACGTGAAACGGACACAATGAACAATAATTTGTGAATCACACAAAGTGTTGTGGCATGTGGGGATCGATCCCACAACACTCAGAGCAATATAAAGTGGCGTGGCTAAATAATAATAAATCACTACGCCATCCGTGCAGTCAATATGAATTGTAATGTACCGAAGCCGTAATGAGAACTAATACGAAGGGTTTTTGGTGTTCCGCTGAGTGTTTAACGGAGTCGGCGGCTCAGGACGTCTTAAAACGGGCCTAGAGTTTCACAAGTAAAGTTTTGAAAAATTAAAAAATATTGAGTACCACTGCGTGTAGAATGGTAAATTATTAATACGTGAGACTGGTCACGTATTAATAATTTAAATACTGCAGTATTATTGTTACGGAAAGTTTTCATTAAAATCTCTAAAAATTATGCGTAGACTGTTATGCGATAGCAAATTACTAATAAAACTTTACTGTAACAAAAATCAAGTTAGTATCTCACAAACGGATACCTTAATCAAAATATAGTCTTCAGAAACTCAACAAAAATAATAAATTTTTAAAAGACTTATCCAATGACACCCCACAACATTAGGATGGGTGAATTGAAAAAATTGCACCCATACTTAACAGGAATTGTTATTAAATAAATTAATTGCTTAAAGAACTTGGTCGCTAAACTCCCTTCTACCCAAATATAGCCCATAGCACCGAAGTGAGTTATTCAATACACAATGTTTTGTTTTCATCCTACCTACACGAGAGTTGCGCAATGGTCGTGATGATACATTGTTGTCATTAATCGAATGGCTCCAAGTTAATTGGTTTTCATTACATTGTGTTTTAGTTAGATAAACATTAGTACTGTTGTAGTTAAATTACCCAATTTGACACAAGTTTTATTTTATAGTATTTGAATAAAGAACAAAGTACAACAGACTAAGCTGTATTAAAGTTTTTCGATTTTTCTTTTCTTTTCATGTAATATATTATGCCTCTAAAAGTTAACAATTCTTTAGTATTTCACTAGTCTTTAGTGAACTCGTAACGTGACTACCACCACTCATGGACGCCTGCAACTCGATAGTCACAAGTGCATTGCCCCCCAGAATCCGGAGAGGAGAGGGGGGAGTTGAGCTCCGAAAATAGCTTTACAGTGTTTTTTTGTGATGCCGTGGTATTACTCCGGTCTAACCTGGCCCATTACTGTTGAAGCATGGCATTGCCATGTACAAATATTTACACAATTATAATTTAGCATGATGTAGGCCTATTGAAGTCATTTAAACTTTTTAAAAGTTACTTATTTATGTTACTCCTAATCTGTATATTAAAAAAGCCCGTGGCTCCACCCGCGTAAATGTCGACTTACGCGTTATAAATTCTATGTTCTTCCTCAACAATCAAAGTATCTTCATGGCTAATTTTATTAAAATCGATTCAGCGGTTTAGCCGTTAAAGTGTAACAGACAGATGGAGTAACTTTTGCATTTATAATACTAGTATTACACAGTCAATATTATCCTTCAAAGAGATAGTTGCATCACATCCAGCAACTTGTATGAGGGCCATATAATCAAATTACCAGTTAGAGATACAAGATGCCCGGACACTGAACATACTGCGGTTACCGGAGATCATATTGTGAATGTGCATACCATCCCTGTCGATAACGAACATAGACAGTAGGTAAATAGGTTAGAGGGTAAATAACAGTTGATTACATACTGTACATGATTAAGAATACAGATTGTCACCACCCCTGTTCATCCCGTGGGTGTTGTAAGAGTCAACTAAGGGAAAAAACTACGCAGAACAACAGCACTGCAGAGAGAAGGAAAACTTGACACAAACCCTATACAAACCCGTCTGGCCAGCGTGATATAGTAGGCCAAAATCTCCTTTCTAAGGAGAGGCTTATGTCCAGCAGTGGACTATTAAAGGCTGTTGATGATGATGATGATGACATACTGTACTAGTACTATACTCTGTAAATATAACAGGACCATAGATATCCATACTAATCCTTATCAATACTAATATTATAAATGCGAAATTGTGTCTATCTGTCTGTCTTTTATCTCTTGACGCTTAAACCGCTGAACTGATTTCGAGATCGTCCGAGCCCCGGGAAAAGACAGGGTAGTTTTTAATCCTAGAAATCATCCTTTAAGGGGGTGAAAAGGGGGATAGAAGTTTGTGTAGGGAATCAATAACTACTGAACAGATTTAAATGAAATTTGGTATTAAGATATAATGATTTGACGGGCCTGTTGGTCTAGTGGTTAGTGACCCTGACTGCTAAGCCGGAGGTCGTGGGTTCGATTCCCACCCAGGACCAATATTGTGTGATGAGCACGGTTATTTGTTCTGTGTCTGGGTGTAATTTATCTATAATATGTATGTATTTAAAAATATATTAGAAAGTTTATCAGCAGTCTGGTTACCATAGTACAGGCTCTGAGTAGTTTGGGATCAGACGGCCGTGTCTGAGATGTGTGAAGGTATTATTATTATTATGAAACCAAAATGGTAATTAAATCGACAGTAGACTTGCTTATTGTTACGTAATTGGGACCCAACTATTAGGAGGGAAAATGTGGGAAAATACAGGCGTCTGTATAGTATTTATTTTTGTAAGTTTTCATGTATTTTTTATTATTATTTTACAATGTTTCAAAACTGCTCACAAGACTTTTAAAGGGTAACCTTTCCAAATTGATATTGTACGGTAATTTATATAGCATTAGTATTTCTTTGTAGTCTTCTTTATTTTGCATTCTAAAAGGATATTACTTTATAAATCTAGTAACCAAATTAAGAACATAAAAGGTTCAGCTAGTAAAAAAAACCTTTTAGTGGTCTTTATAGTGTTGTATTATCACAAACATGCCGAGCCTCTTGGTGTTGTAGTTAGCGATCCTCATTGCTAATCCAAAGGTCGTGGGTTCCAGTCCTAACCACACCAGAGCAGACCAAGACAAATCTTCTGAGTCTGAGTGTAATTTATCTAAAATATTTATGTAGTTTGGAGGTGATTTAAACCAACCAAAAACTCATTTCTAAGGAGAGGCCTATGTCCAGCAGTGGATTAGTAAGGGCTGTTGATGTGATGATGATGATGTAAGTGACATACATACCTACATTGTTAATTTATTTTCACCGTAAACAATATACATATTTTACAATATGTAATCCAAAAAACATTAAAAACAAACAAACATTACGTTATGATAATTAACAGTATTTATCCATAAACATTTTGTACACAAAAAATAAAAAAATAAAATATAGGAGGTAGTAAATAAATAAAAATGTAGGTAGACGTGAATACAATATTTTACGTTCCACCTACGAGTACCACTAGTCACAGCTTGCTACCGCCGCGAATATCGTATTTGGTGCCACGCTTTAAATATTATAATAACTATTGTAATATCCTGCCATATTGTTACTTATATAGGGTTAATTGTATGTGAATTATCTTTATTATGTTCTATATACTTCCTATAACGGTAGGAACACTATTCTATTGTGCCGACTAAACTGTAAACTTTGTGTGGTGGTCTAGTGTGAACATTAAAAGTGTATCGGTGAATAGGATTGTTTGCTTTATTAGGTACTAACGGTAAGTAACAATACACCCTAAATACCAAATATTATTTGTTATATATTGAACGTGATTCTGCAAACTTCTTCGTTCGTGATTTTATTTTGGCTTTCTCCTTCTTTAGAAATGAGTTTAAGTATGATCAATATCTTTCAGTAACTACCGTTCCTGCCGTTTTAACTATTCTATTGTGTCTTCTAAACTCTAAACTTTGTATCGTGTGTGTATTGTGGACATTAAAAGTATATCGGTGAAAAGGATTTGGACTTTTTAGGGGTCTAACAACCCGTAAAGATTGTCGAAGATGTTCGGCACAACCAGGACTGACTGCCCTCTAGTCCTGGCACTAGAAATCTAGCCCTAGAAATATATGTGAACGGTAAACGGCAATGGGCTTACCATCTATTATGTAAGTGTAACCAAAAATTACAGTCAGAAAATATTAACATTTAATACGCTATCTATCAAATACGAAGAAAGAAGGGATATAAAGACGGGGGTATATGTATGTTTGTAATGTTCGGTTCATACGTAAAGGCTCTCGAAGTATGGTACCCACACACAATAATTCACGAACGGACATTAAGCATAAGGCATTAAGCGTATTTCTAAGAATATGAACATTAAAATATCATCATATTTTGTCCCTTTAACGACGAAAAGGATATATCGTCATTACTATTTGCGATAGAATTAAATGCGGTATTGTTAACATGTATGTAGGGTAAAAAAAATATTTTATTTATCAACAATTGTTAGTGACAGGCCTGTTGGTCTAGAGGTTAGCGAGGCTTACTGCTAATCCGAAGGTCGTGGGTTCGATTCCCACCCAGGACAAATATTTCTGTGATGAGCCCGATCATTTTTTCTGTGTCTGAGTGTAATTTATCTATAATATGTATGTATTTAGAGATGTTTAAGTATGTTTATCAACAGTCTGGTGACCATAGCACAAGCTCTGCCTAGTTTGGGATCAGACAGCCGTGTGTAAGGTTTATTAAAATATATTATTGGAACGAAGTTCCTTATCGCGCGTTACATGATCTGAGCGGATGGGAGCTAGACCGAAAAATGTGTAACAAGACTTTTTGCCGACACTTCTTGCTATTCACTTAAAAATAATAATATTTTATAAAAATATTTACCTGTTGATTAGTGACTACCTAAAACTTGCGATACAAAATATATTAGTGCGTCGTGAGGTGAGGAGTTCTGTGAGGTGATGGTATCACTATGGTTGAGCCGGCCCATTTGTGTCGAAACATGGCATAATTTAACTTGAATAATAATGCTAATTAAAACTTTAAATAACAACGCTAATTAGAACAGAAATATCCTGTGTTACAGATCCTTTTAGGCATGAAACCAGGGATTCCCAAACTATTTTGGGCAAGAGACCACTTTCTAAAATGATCTGATACCTTGGACACATAGCCAAATTACGCACGCTTATCGAGTTGTTGAGTTTTGAAAAAGTACAACAGTGAGACTTCCTACTAAAATATTAGTCATACTTATGACAAGTTGGTAAACGTAACACAACTTATACATTGTCTTGAGAGTTCAAATAAGAACTTGTGTTAATTAATATGGGTCGATTTTTATACCTCGTTGACCCCCAAAATCATTTTTGATTCGACCGCTTTGGGAATTCCTGCATTAAACCATCCACTTTCAACTGAAAAGCATTTCATTAAGAGTATCCAGATACTTCTAATCCTATATTGTCTATCTGTGAGATGCTGAATTGGTATGGCGGATGGTGGCTTTTTGTAGTAAATGTTAGGGAGGACATCTATATGATAAATTTATCAGTGGACGCCCTATAGTTAAGAGAAAGTGACAGAATGTATTTGAATATAATTGAGAGACCTGTTTGATGTAGATTTCGCAGACGATGCATAAAACACAAGTATCGTCCTGAGCCGATGAAAGAGATAGCAATGTCGCCTCAGCCTCATCTGTCATCCAGGTCGTTTTCCCTTGACACTCTAAAAGGTACTCGATGTAAGTACAACTTATTAGCATCCCAAAAATATCTCAGTCAACCAAACCTCCATAAATTAAACTAATTTTAAATTATGAGATTACCCAAAAATTCCATCAGCCAAATGGTCTAATTGTAATTGCAAATCAAAAAATTTACATAAAGTACACCAATTCAGAACCTTAATTCCAAATTTGAAGTGAAAAAAGTTTTATTATCAAACTTGAGTTTTGCCGCGAAAACACTTGACGCCATTTTTACTCACCGAATCAAGTCAGATGTCATTACATTCATCTTTATATTTAGTTCCTAAGAAATATCGTGTTGGGAAACTTTTGGAAAACTTCTTAATCCCGGATAATAGGTCAAAAGTTTTTGACGTTCTGCCGAAAGCTATTTCGGCCAAATTGAGTTTTTATTACTGCCTAAATAAAGTTAATTTTGGTATTAATGTAAGTTTTATTATGATTGTTGAAGACTAATTCTATGCATCTAATATGCATGCATTGTAGGACTACAATGTAACTTAAAAAAACCGGGAGGGGGACAGAAAATCCGCATTTCTTCTCTTGCCTTTCTCAAGTATTGGCGAAAAGGTGTACTCGTTTCCTTGAAACAAAACTTTTCCATCAACTGAAATTATACTTAGAAACTATTGAGGTAACACTATAACCTAGATATGAGTTCCTTTCGCCACAGTTTTAATGAGGAATATAATAACACAGGTGACAGAACGCCAGCTAAGAGCTATTAAAATATCTCGAAGCTACATAAACTTTAATTACAAACTATGAATAGATAAGTTTGAAATTGTCTTTTTGTCTTGTCTAGCTTTTGCCTGAGGCTCCGCCTACGTGTATGCTCTGTTTGGGTGTATCTATAATATTTAGTAACTAGCTGACCCGCGCAACTTCGTCTGAGTCTCTCAATAGTAATAAATTTTCTCCGTTTTTGAAACATTCTTCATTGGTGCTCCGCTCCTATTGGTCTTAGCGTGATGATATATAGCCTAAAACCTTCCTCGATAAATGGGCTATCTAACAC